GGAAGGAAGGAAGGAAAGAAGGAAGGAAGGAAAGGGAGGGAGGGATAAACGGAGTGAGGGAGGGAAAGAAGGAGGGAGGGAGGGAGAGAGGGAATGAAGGAAAGGGAGGGAGGGAGAAACGAAGGGAAGGAAGGAAGGAAAGAAGGAAGGAAAGGGAGGGAGGGAAAGAGGGAAGGAAGGAAAGGGAGGGAGGGAGGGAGAAACAGAGGGAAGGAGGGAGGGAGGGAGGGAAGGAAGGAAGGAGGGAGGGAGGGAGGGAATGAAGGAAAGGGAGGGAGGAAGAAACGGAGGGAAGGAAGGAAAGAAGGAAGGAAAGGAGGAAGGAAAGGGAGGGAGGGATAAACGGAGGGAAGGAAGGAGGGAGGGAGGAAAGGAAGAAGGAGGGAGGGAGGGAGAAAGGGAGAGAGGGAAGGAGGGAGGGAGGGAGGGAAGGATCTTTTCAATCTCATTTCTTCTGGCATTGCCTAGGGAACACCTGCATACAAAGTAGGAAAGATCAGAAGAGAACTCCGCTCTGGTCAATCTAATTTTCTCCTTTATTTAACAGCTGCCAGACCTTAAAGTTGCCTGGATGGACAGAGTGAAATTGAAATTAATGGCATGGCATGAGCTGAAGGCTCCCATTATGAGCAATCCAATTAAGGAGATGCATATTAATTACGGACTAATTATTAAGTTTCCTCACTTTGCCTAAATGTATTTGCATGTTCTCTGTACCTTGGAATGGTTTCCTCCTTAATTTAATTTAATTTCTTTCTTTCTTTCTTTCTTTCTTTCTTTCTTTCTTTCTTTCTTTCTTTCTTTCTTTCTTTCTTTCTTTTTCTTTCTTTCTTTCTTTCTTTCTTGCTTTCTTTCTTTTTCTCAATTAACCATCATCATAAACTCCCAAATAATTCAGACACAGGACAGGACAAAGAGACAGAGAGAAGGCAGGCAGGCTCTGGGCTCCAGAAATCAAATCTACTGTCTTGAAACCCTGGACAATGGAAGTTTGTCCTATGGATTTGAAGAATGAACTAAATCTTTCCCTTTTCACCCGGATTACAATTTTGGAGGGTACAGAAAAGGGAAATGCTGCAAGGAAGCAGTGAGTCGAAACGGCGCTTCTCAACCTCTGCAGTTTTAAGATGCTTGGATTCCACTTCCCAGAATTCCATGCTGGTTAGGGGATTCTGGGAGTTGAAGTCCACCCATGTAAGGTTGCCAATAGTAGGAACGGCCTCCTGCACATGGCATCGTTTGCTAACGGGCAGAAGAAGCTCCAAGAATTTATTTTCAAAGATCTATCACTCCCCACAAACAGATTGATCGTACAGCATCTTTAAAAACCTTCCCATAACTCCTGTGAATTAAACGCCGGCTCTATTTATAGTGAGACCAAGGCTCAGATTTTCACATTTTCTCTCTTCTGCCCGTGTGATGGAGCGGGGCTGGAAGCCAGTCCTCCTTTGGGTGGGAGCAACGGTTTCCATCTGTCTCTTGCTTTGAGAATGGTCCAGCTTGGTATTATGGTTTTTTTTTTTTTTTTTACTTTTGACTGAAAGCAAACTCTCAATTTCACAAAGAATTTCTCCTCGTAAAAAGAATAAGGAAAGGAAACAAAAATGGGGATGAGATAAGGGAATCCACCCGGGGGAGGGGAAAACCTGAAAATACTTCCAGGAATGTGTTCGTTTGTGCAGACTTTGATGCTCTCTGAGCTTGGCTGTTTTCTGTAGACATTTCATTATCCAACTAGATAACATCATCAGTGCTAGAAGGGAGTGGGATTGGAGGAGGAGGAGGAGGATTATGGGTCTGTGGGGCTCTCTGAGCATGGTGGCTTGCTGCAGACATTTCATTACCCAACCAGGTAACATCATCAGTGAAAGTGAGTGTGGGGTTTGCTCTCTGTTTATATATAGTAGCTTCTCCTTTCAGTCTTGGTGAAGCTGTGATTTCCTCCTTGGTTAGGATATTGTTTTCTCTCCTTGATCATTTGCCTGGTGTTAATCCCTGCTTATCTGGATGTTGGTTGCTGGGTGCTGGTGGAAAAATAGCTGCAGAATCCCTATTGAATCAATCATCCATGTTAGCTTTTAGCCTCCTAGTCTAACGAAGAGAAGGACTAAGGGTGACATGATAGCAGTCTTCGGATATTTGAGGGGTATCACACAGGTGAGGGGGTCAACCTATTCTCAGAAGCACCTGAAAGCAGGACAAGAGGCAACACATGGAAACTGATGAAGGAGAGAACCAACCTAAAATTGTTAATCAGTGGAATAATTTGCCTTCAGAAGTTGTCATTGCAGTTTTTCAGGAAGAGACTGGACACCCATGGGGTGGACTATAAGACCTCAAAGTTCCCTTTCAACCATATTATTCTGTAATCTCCGGCTAAAGAGTCCCAAATCTCAGCTACATCCTCAGTCCACCTTCACTGAACTGCTTCTCAGTGATCAACTCTCCTCCTTATTGATGGGTAATATCCCGTTCCTCCAGATGTGACGTGATGAGAAAAACAGAGGCGGCTCAAGGGGTTAGGAGGCAAATCTCAAATCTTATTAAGATTCTGAAAGAAGCCTTCATTAGAACAGCGATGGGGGGAAGAGGAAGGAGGAAAAAACGAGTTCATATTTTATTTCTTATATCACCTGGAAAACACAGAGTGCTTTTTGTTTCATCTTTATTTGCTGGTTGTGTGTGATATTTCTTTCTTTCTTTTTTAATCTGCTTTTTTTATTTTCCCCGTGTCATCTTTGCTACTGATCTGTCGGGAACGGTAGATTATCGTTTGTTCTTAGAACGCGCCGTAAAGCAAAATACGGATGCGAAGGGATTGACTTTGAGTGTTCACAGGCCCCGTGCAAAGGCGGGGAATTGTCTCATCGTTACTTAAATATGCATTGATTATTTGATTTGGAACAGCAATTATCCGTGTAAGAGACGGTTGACTCCCAAGGAACTTGTCAAGAGTGGGGAGATAATGGAAGGGCTGAACAAGGGGGACAGTTCAATGAGGCGGAAGGAAATCGGTGAGGGGGGGGGGAGGCATCCAGGCCAACCTGGTCTGCTTGTGCATTCTTCACACAAGCTCCAGATTAGGGATGCTGGAGCAGTAATTAAGGAGGCCAGGCAGAGGCGGAAAGAACTTCACGGAGGAGGAGAGGACGGATGGCTCCAGCTGGAGAGGATCACTTGAGATGGGGGTCAATGGTAGCAGACCCCAACATTGGAATTGGGGATTTGGGGGCTGCAGCACTTGTTGGCTGGAATGTTGTCTCTCAATTCCACGATATGAGGTGGCCGGTGCAGTACAGGGTGGTCAGTTCAATCCTGGTTGTCTAAGATCTCATGAGGTTTTGGACCTCACACTTGAGTGTCATTCCAGAGAAGTCCTCCAGTTAAATGCTCCTTGCCACCCATCCTGTATCTTCTCTATAATCTATGTGTAACCAATCTATCTATCTATCCCCATCCATCTTCTCTATCTATCCATCCATCCCCATCCATCTTATCTATCTACCTCTATCATCTATCTATGTATCTATCTATGTATCTATCTATCTTCCATCCATCCCTATGTATCTCCTCTATAATCTATATAGAGAATTATAGAGAATATATTATAGAGAATATAATTAGACACCTATCCATCCATCCCCATCCATCTTATCTATAGACCTATCTACCTACCTATCCATATCTGTCTGTCTGTCTGTCTATCTATCTATCTATCTATCTATCTATCTATCTATCATCTATCTATCTATCTATCTATCTATCTATCTATCTATCTATCTATCTATCTATCTATCTATCATTTATCCATCCATCTTGGAATTAAATCCCAAACAAGCAAAGTCCGTTCTCTTCAAAACAAACTGATAACATTGACACAGTTGTTCTCATCTATATAAATGCACATCATTTGCATAACTGCACAATGGCACAATTAAATTCTTGGCATAATTAGAAAACAGGCATAAAAATGTCAATTGTGTAATTACAAAAGGGGTGCAAGTGGCATAAATTTGTCAATTTTCCCCAGGATCACCCGTCGGCCCCAAAATTGTCGATGAAAGGAAGATTTCACTGAATTTCTATACATTTCGACTTCTCTGAATAACCCGTTTCCCCCTCTTGTTTGGAACATCTCTCCGGATTTTGGATCCAATCGTGGCGATATTAATTTGCTGTTCCTATCATTTGCTGTTCATGGATTTGCAGTCAATGAATTATTTGCTTGCCTGCCTAACTTTTTAAGAGAGCGACTTGCTGGTTTCATTCTTTCGTTTAGATCTGGCTGTTCAGGAAGGCATGAAATAGTGACCCCCTCCCACACACACCTGTCCCCAAAAACGCAATTTCAAAGGTACATGCAGCTATTTCAAACATGGCTGAGCTCCTCTTCCTTAGAGGATAACAGAATTAACAGAGTTGGAAAGGTTCTTTGGAGGTCTTCTATGGAGTTTTTCTAATACTGCATCCGTTCCATGAGGCTGGTGGGGTCTGGAGGGGGACTTGCTTCCCAAGGCCTTCTGCCAAATAGGGAGAAACTTTTAATTTAGTTTTCTAAACACGTCCTTAAACTGCAAAACTTGTCATAAATATGAATCAACCAGAGAAGTGGCTGTCCAGTCTCTCCTTAAAAGCTTCCAGTGATGGAGCACTCAGAACTTCTGTAGGGAAGCCATTCCGCCGATTAATTGTCCTCCCTGTCAGGAAATTCCTCCTTCGTTCTGGGTTGCTTCTCTCCTTGGTCAGTTTCCATCCGTTGCTTCTTGTCCTGCCTCTCAGGGGCTTTGGAGGATAGCTTGACTCCCTCCTCTTCTTTGGGGCAGCCCCTCCAATATTGGAAGACCGCTATCATGTCATCCCTGGTCCTTCTTTTCACTAGATTAGACAAACCCAATTCCTACACCTGCTCTCCGTATGTTTTAGCCTCCAGTCCTCTAATCATCCTCGTTGTTCTTCTCTGCGCTCTTTCCAGAGCCTCAACCTCTTTTATACAATGTTGGTGACCAAAACTGGATGCAGTATTCCAAGGTTATTCTAAGGTCTTATAAAGCAGTACTAATACTTGGCATGATTTTGATTCTGTTTTTATACAACCCAGGATTGTGTTAGCTTTTGGGGCAGCTGCCGCACACGGCCGGCTCATATTTAAGTGATGCTCCAAGATCCCTCTCACAGGGACGATTCTTTTGCCAGGTTTTCTCCCCTCTCTAATCTGTACCTTTTGGTTTTCAGACAAATCTTGGCTTTGAGAGTTCCTGAGAGTTTGTGCCTTCATTGAAATGCAGGTCCCTGCTTTGGATGTTCTGCTATTTAATGACTTCTGAATGCTTTTCTATTTTAATATTTCTGTGATGTCAGTGCAAGTTGCTTTGAGGATTTCAACTCAAAAGAGTCTGGCATACATTTTTAAATACCTCTACAGATAGCCCGGAGGATCACACCTCGTTACTCTCTTCTGTTTCCCCTGCAGGTGTAAATGTAATCTCCATGCCAACCAGTGCATTTTCAAGGAAGGAAGTCTTCAGTGTGAATGTGAACATAACACAACGGGACAGGACTGTGGCAGATGCAAGAAGAATTTCCGGAGCAAGTCTTGGAGAGCTGGCTCCTACCTTCCCCGTCCCAACGGTTCTCCTAACGTGTGTAAGTATGGCGGGAACGACGGCTGTGAGTTGAAGTCCACCGCGGGAAGGAGAAACATCTCAACCGCCAAAAGCCAAACCAGTGATAGGGAGAGAGGGGAAAGTCACCTCATGGATGAATCCAAGTAGAGAAGTCTAGGAAAAGGACGTGTCCAAGAAACGGTCCCCTGAAACCATCAGCAGAAAGATTGGGTCCTGGCCTCTCATCATCAGAGTCATTGCTCTCCTCCACCATCCACAACTGCTGCCGACTAACCACACAACACCCTATAGCCTATCCCATTTCAGACAAGTGGCTGTCCAGTCTCTTCTTGAAAGCCTCCCGTGAGGGAGCCCCCACAACTTCTAGACAGAGGTGAGCCGTTCTACTGGTTGATTGTTCTACCTGTCAGGAAATTTCTCCCTTAGTTCTAGGTTGCTTCTCTCCTTGAGTTGGACGAGAAGCAACAGATGGAAACTCATCAAGGAGAGAAGCAACCTAGAACTAAAGGAGAAGTTTCCTGACAGGTAGAACAATCAATCCGTGCAACGGCTTGCCTGCAGAAGTGGTGGATGCTCCGTGGAGGTTTCCAAAAAGAGACTGGCCAGCCATTTGTCTGCAATGGTACAGGGTTTCCTGCCTAGGCAGGGGGTTGGACTAGAAGGCCTCTAGGGTGCCTTCCAACTCTGTTCTTCTTCACCCTTTCCATGTTTCTTGCCCTGCCTCCAGGTGCTCTGGAGAATAGGTTGACACCCCTCCCCCACTCTTCTTCATGGTAGCCCCTTAGAGAACAGGCTTTTAATTAATTTATTCATTTATTAATTTTTTATGCCACCCATCTGCCTTACGAGCTGACTGTAGGCGGCATAAATTAGCTTGCTGTCTGGCTCCTTGCCCTTTCTTGACCTTCTCTCCCTTTTCTTCTCTTCCAGGTGCGGCTCCAAATTTTGGCAGTAAGTAAAACGAAACAACATTTTAAAAGGAAAAAAAAAAAACAAAAACCCTCCCTTAAAACCGCCAACCCAACTTGAAATGCGGAGAGGCTTGCTAGCACAGTCCCGGCGGATGCCGTTCGGTGGCCAAAAAAGGAGCTTTTATTTTAAATTTTTTTTAATTTTTCTTCCCCCTTCCCCAACCCCTGTTTTTCCGTCTCCGTGAACATCTGTCCAAGCATAAGTCTGCTTCTCTAATTGTGCCTCATTTCCCCGCCTGTCAAACGTCTCTCTTTGAGTACGGTCGGAAAGCTCATTGTCTTTGTCGTGCCGGTGTGTTCTTTCTTTCCCCCACGAGGTTTGTTAGCAAGGCGGCGAGGAAGGAAATAAAGTGTTTTTCGAAGGAGGCGAGGGAGGGAGGGAGGGAGGGACGGCTGCTTTCCACATCTCCGGCTTAAGAGCCTTGCGGGCACTAAATTAAACTCTTATAAATCAAAGAGACTGGTTTAGATGGCTGAAGTCCCCAGCCACTTTTCTTAGGCGGAGGTGCGTGTGATACTTAGGAATGAACCAACAGCATGATACAGTCCTTGATGCATGGCCCCATAATTCCTTGCGGGGTGGAATCGGGGCAACTGAATGGAGCTGAGTGTTTGCTGGCCGGATACCCCTCCTGTTGCCAGGGCGGAGTTATATGCAGCAGATAAATTCTCATTGTGCCCAGAGAGCGAGAGAGCGAGAGAGCGAGAGAGAGAGAGAAAGACAGAGAGAGCGAGAGAGAGAGAGAGAGAGATCTGCTGCTACCTAGGATTGATCTCACAGCCTCCTGATTGCAAGGCGAGAGTGCCACCTCTAGGCACACCGCGCCACTCTGGCAATGACGGTCATAAACTGTGAAAATAGGTAAAGCACTTTCCGTTGTCTGAACATTGATTATCTCTAGAGGTTTAGGGTACCCAAATATTAGTGTGTTCATATTCTCCAGTCAAATACCACTGTACTCAAATCATTGTCGTCATGATAATAGGCAGGAGATCCAATTCAGGTGGTCCTCCACTTACAACAGTTTGTTTAGTGGCCGTGCAAAGTTACAAGAGCCCTGAAAAAAGGGACCGGTGGCCGTTTTTCACACTTACGACCACTGCAGCATCCCCGGGATCCCGCCAGACGCACTTTGCAGCTGTGTGACTCACTTAACAATGGCAGTGGTCCGCTTAACCACAGTGGCGAGGAAGGTCATAGAGTGAGGCAAAATCCCACCTAAATGCTTCACTTAGCAACAGAAAATGTGGGGGCCCGTTCCGGTTGGAACTGGCTTTTCTGGACCAAAGGTCGCAAAAGGGGATCGCGTGAGCTCAGGACTATCATAAATATGAGTCAAGCGTCTGAATTTTGATCCCATCCCCGCGGAAATGCTGCAACGGTTGTAACGGTGAAAAACGGTGGATAATCAGTCGTGTTTTTTTCTAGTGCCGTTGTAACTCCGAACGGCCATTAAATGAACGTTTGTAAATTGAGAGTTACTGGTGTTTCTCTTGTGTTTCTCTGCTTCCTTTAAAAAATAAAACGGCAGCAAAGTTTTCTCCAAGTTAACTTTAGGATGCCTTTCCACTAACGAGGCCTTTTTAATTGGCTGCGGAAAAGAAATTGCTGGGGGGGTGGGGGAGGCAATGAAAGGGAAATGAATTCCTCCCATCTCGAGTTTTGTTTTGCTTCAAACGCGGCCTGCTGAGAAGGGCCCCGACTGGCTAGGAGGAGGCGATCCATTAAATCTTCATACCGCCACATTAATTTACAAATTACGGCGGTCGAGATTACACAGGCAATTGAAGCCCGAGAGAAAACCAATGTGGAGCTTTGACAGTTACGGAGCGACAGGAACATTTGGAATGGACTCAGTGAAAGTTTAATTTATTGGGTCTTTCCAGCTAATTTGACAAATCGAAGGAGCAGTTTTAATTCCTCGCCGCTCACGGGAGGGATCCAGACCCATTTGGGACGGCACCAATGCTTATTTTGCAGAGTTGCCCAAGCGGTTTAGGGACTCGGACTGGATGGAATCCCCATCCCGTCTGGCTTTAGTTTCAAATCGGATCTGATCGATCGATCTTTTTTTTTTTCAAATCCTGTCTGAAACCGTTCAGATGGATTGGGGCTCAGGTGTGCCCAACCCATGGTAAGAACCCAGCTGTGGGGTTTCAGAGGGTGGCTGTTTGTTCCTAGATGGAGCTTTGGCTAAAAGAGAGAGAGAAAGAGCGCCTGGGCAGTTCGGATTTCTTGGATTAAACGAAGGAAGTGATCCCAAGATTTCCAATAGCTCAATGAACAGAGTAACAGGGTTGGAAGGAGCCTTGGAGGCCTTCTAGTCTGACCCCTTGCAGAAACGAAGAAACTCTATGCCATTCCAGGCAAGTGCTTGTCCAATCTTTTGATCACGTTACCGTGAAGATGCTCCAATGGTTGTAAGCGTGAAAAAATTAAGTCACTTTTTTCAGTGCCGCTGTAACTTCGATCGGCCCCTAAACAAACGGTTGCAATTGGAGGAGGACGACCTGTAGTAGACGAGTAGATGATTCGTTGATTCATTTCCCCAGAAGCTACTTATATCTGAGAAGTCTCTCTTAAGGGATTGGCATTCTGATTTTCTTTCCTTTTATTCCCCCCCCCCCCCCCGCCATCTTTATTTGTCTCTCGGTAGCAAAGGAGCCACCCAGGCCAGTAACTAATCGTCAAATTATCATCCTCACAACTAGCATTTCCAAAACCACGGTTAGCACCACCTATGCCACGGAATCCTCTTGGGTGCCCAGCACTCCACTCATTGCAACACGGCGGCCAGGTGGGTGCTGAATGTAGTTGGAGACTCCCACCCTAGTAGATAGATAGCCTAGTTCCGTGCTTCTCTTGCCAGCTTTGGCTTCTTGCTGCTGTGACCCTTGTCGGGTCGGTGAGAGGTGAGATGAGAAGATGCTGACACCCCCCCACCCCCCACCCACCCGGCTTGCTAGTCCCTTCCCTCCTTGTAGGAAGATTAGATGGAGAGCCCGGATAAAAAATCGGGCTGTTCACTGGCGCAAGGCTTCCCATTTGTCAGCGCGAGAGCTGGTGCATTTGCCCAGCTAATTAATGAAGGGACGATCCCCCATGGGACAGGCCCCATTCATAATGGGCCCGCAACCCTCCCCTGCTGGGTAGCAGGTGCAGGATTCTCCGGGAAGGACTTTATCAGTAGTGGAAGGAAGGAGGATAGGTCGGTAGGTAGGTAGGTGGGTGGCTGGCTGGCTAGAGGGGGAGAGAGAGAGAGAGAGAGAGAGAGAGAGAGAGACGGACAGACAGACATGGATGGATGGATGGATAGATAGACAGACAGACAGACAGACAGATAGATGAGGAGGAGGAGGACTATGGGATCTTTGGTGGTCTCTGAGCTTGGTTGTTTTCTTGCAGACATTTCATGACCCAACTAGGCAACATCATCAGTGCTATGAGTATGACTTGCTCCCTGTTTATATACAATAGCTCTGAGCTTGGTTGCTTTCTGATGTTTGGTAACATCAATACCTACCCAAGACAGTAGAAATGGAGACACCTTTTCAAGAAAAAAGAAGTTCAATTTGTGAGTGGAGATAACAAGTGGATCATGATCAGTTGGCCTTTTGATAACTGGAACTCTTGTCCTAGGCCAAGGTCAAAAGTGGAAGCCATTTTGAGAGCCTGCCCATCACCTGCTCACTAATTTCCAAAGGTGTCATCCAAAATAGATGGGATTAGTCTTTCCTTCTGTAATTCTTCTAAGTGACTGGGGGTGTGTGTGTGAACCGTCCATTGAGCAAGGACTTGTGATGGTCAAATCTCTCTCAACCAGTATGTAGCATTCCGATTATTCAAAAAAGGAGAAAAGAAAAGAAAGAAGAAGAAAAAAGAAGCATAAAAGTTGGTTGAATGTGGTATTTATAAAATCTCTTTCCCCTAGAGATGCCTCTTTCTGAAATAACACAAACTAGATCAGGCTACCAGCTGTCTTCCAAAGCTTCGGAAAGAAGGTGAAATATAAAAACCCAACACTTAAATTACAGCTCAATCGATAAAATTAATCCTTAACTCTATTTTTCAACCAATCGCACCTCAGCTTCGGTGGTTAAAAAAAGGGTCCCTGCCCATTAATCATCTGAAGTGGAATTGATTTATCTACCAGCTAAAGGAGTTACATCTTGCAAGACCCATTAAGTTGCAGGAATTGGCTCCAATATTGCATGCAAATTAGTTTTGATAGATTATGTGCCATCAAGTTGATATTAAGTCGCAGTAACCACAAAGATAGATTTTCATCAGGACCATCTGCTCCTGAACTGTTACTTCACATCTTCCTCCTGCGTAGCCATCACAACTTCTCTACTGCTGGTTGTTCTCTTCTCTTTCTTTCCACCCGGTTTCTGGTGGTTCTCTTTTTCTCTTTCCTTCCATCTTTCCTAGCATCGCTGCCTTCTCCGGGTCTTCACTTAACGTGTCTTTAATTGGATAATTTGAGTCTGGTTATTTAGGCTTCAAGTCAAAACTCTGGGATGATTTGTTTGATGAACCATCGGTTTGTTGTTTCTCCAACCTCCCCAAAGCATCTGTTGTCTTCTGATGGTCTTCAAAACAACTTTTGGTTCTATGGAATGTCATGGAATGGCTTGCTCTATTTTGATATTCACTCAAATTATAATTTCGGCCTTGGAGGGCTTCTGTAGGCCTTCTTAGCAAAGGTAGGAGATCTTATACCATCCCAGACAAATGGTTGCTCAACATTTTCTTGAAAACCTCCAGCATTGGAGCATCCATAACTTCTGGAGCCAAGCTGTTCCACTGATTAATTGCTGTCATTGCCAAGCAATTTCTCCTTAATTCTAGGTTGGATCTCTCTTTGATAAACGCCTGTGGAGACCCTCAGTCATCCAGGTCATGGCTGTGGCCTCACCAGGGCAGTATAAAGTGGTGCTATCCCTTGTCATGATCTTGATGCTACCCTTCTGTTGATGCAGCCTAGGATGGCATTGGCTTTTTTGGCAGCTGCAGCACACGGCTGGCTCATATGATATGAGTTGATACCTTTCAACAGGGAAGGAGCAGAGCCACTCGAACGTGCTACTCCTATTCCCTGTTTGGATTTTAAAAAAATGTGGCGTCTTCCATTCCAAATCATCAGAGACTTTGATTTCTACTTTTTTTTTAAATTTCCCAACCTTTATGGCGGCTGATTCCTTTCCTTCCCACTCTTCTGGAGGTGATGGAAGAACCATCCATAAATGTCTGTGAGATTCCTGGCTTGGCAGCTCAGGACTAGGTGAATTAATAAGGCTTTTCACTCTGTACAAGCTGAACTGGGGAAGGTGTATATATGCAAAAAAGCAAAATGCCTTCAGGGCAGCTTCTTTTGTTGTGGCTCTAATTAAGCCCTTGCCAATTTGCACTGGGCCCTCTTCCTATTCTAGTTGAAAGCCCCATTAATATCCATGTATCGCCATTTCCATTTATCCAAGTTCTTTAAATACGGTTTTAAAGGAAAAGGAGGAGCAAAAAGAAGAGGAGGAGGAGGAGGAAGAAGAGGAGGAGGAGGAATAACAACTGTATTGGCAGTGCTTGATGGAAAAAGAAGAGTTGTTGGAAAGTAGACAGTTTTGACAGATTAGGATGGTCAAATTCAAGAAGGCTTCTTGGACATGTCATGGAAATCTCTGCTGGGGATGGACAATCCAGAGCTAAGTTGTTCTCAAGGATATCTCAGGTGACACCTGGAGACCAACCAGGTAAAAAAAAACACCCTACATCTGCTCCTATCCCTGGAAATGATGGATTTCTTAGGATTTGCTGAAACTTAAAAGCAATTCCTTTCTACGCCCAATTCTCCCTGAATCTCTTTGGGAAGATCTATTGAGAAGAAAGAGATGGGAAGCTAAGAATTCCAGCAACTGAACCATTTCCGAGCTCAAGATTTCTTGATTATCTTCCTAGCCATCTTTCTTTCTAAAACGACAGGTCTCCTTCACTAGGTAGTTCCAGTTGCTTATTTATATAACAGCTTCTTTTAAAAGGATAGCATCTTTCCTGGATGTTTGTTGGGAACCACACTTAAAAGATGTACACCCACGCAATTCTGTTTCTATTTTCTTTTTAATGGAAAGCAGTTACGCCGGACACTTTCTTGCATGAATAAAAAGTTGGAGAAGAATGGAGGTTTATCCTTCCAGGTGGAAAGATGCCGCTGCATCGGAATCAAGTCAAGATTTCATTAGCTTAAAAAAATAGGCTATGTAAGTCCTGAATTAATGCCAGGAACATGGTTTGGGGGCACAATCACTTTGCCATAATTGGATTTTTGTGTTGTCTTTGCAAGAAAGGACCGGTTCTTCTGGGGCAACCTTCTTGGAAGATAACTTCACCCCAGCCAAGACTGATATGAACTCAAAAGGTAAGAAACACTATGCTATGGCCAACTTTAGCTTCCTGTAGGAACTGTATCTTGTAGCAAAATAGCTCCTTTCTCCTTTCCACCTGCTATTATCCATCCTTGCTTTGTGCTCTACGTTGTGTTGATGTGAGCTGGCATGGCTAGAGGGATCTTCAGAAGTAGTGGTAGACCCCAAAGATGGTGCTAAGAAGTGGTGAGATTGCTCTTGGATCAACTGCTAGGATGTTTTGAGAAGACCATGAAAAAAAATCGCAGCAAAAGAAAAGGAAAGCGAGGTGCAGATTAGGAGCTGTTGTGTCTCGTTGTGCAGTGTTTGTGTTGTGCTGATAGACCTGGCTTCCATGGTGACAAGGGGGCCTCAAAATACCTTGGGGGAGTGCCAAATTGTCTTCATGCATCAGGAAACAAGCTTGCTCCGGGTGGGGCTCAGCATGGCACCCACATAAACAGAGCTGTACAATGTTGTTGAAGTGCATCTTGACTATCTCTCCAAACTTGACAACTTTGCTTGTGGACTTCAACTCCCAGCATTCCTCTGTCAGCCGTGCTGGCTGGGAACATCTGGAAGTTGAAGTCCATCAAGTTGCCAAGTTTGAAGAGCCCTGATCTTGAACCGTTGCAAAAGCATATCTCGCTTTGAAGGACCAGGTTCTCTTCCATGATGCTCAAGAAGAACTAATCTGGTGATGTCCAGAAGTCTTGACCGCTCCTCTTGTTATAGCCGATGGCAAAAGATTGGGAGAGATGATGTTCAAAACATCTGGAGGGACCCAGCTTCCTCACTTATTATCAGTATGCAAAGTATGCAGATTGGGTGATTTATGGGTATAAGAACCTCAGTGCATAGTTCAAAAACATGTTTTGCGATTAACCCATTCGTTCTCACAATGTAGACCCCAAAACAGGCTGGTTTCAACCAGAAATGAATGACTGAATCCTCATCGTATGGATTTGCGCTGAGCCATAAACCAGGATGGGACAGCTTTTCTGCTTGTCTGGTTTTAAAGACGGCTAAACTAAAAATAGGTTGAGGTTAACTCAATTTAATAGGCCTTCCTCCTTCCCTCAGGGCTGACATGTTCATCCATGCCACTTCTGTTAATGGTGGCACTTCCTTGCTTTCTACAACTTTTGTTTTTAAACCTGTCTGTTTCTTGAGATGAACCTCTTGAGAACATCTCAATTAGAGATGTCTTAGCAAGCACTGACCGTGTGTGTGTGTGTGTGTGTGAGAGAGAGAGAGAGAGAGAGAGAGAGAGAGAGAGAGAATCGCAGGCCAGATGTGAGGGTCCTGCTATGGTCCTAAGCACGAGGACCAGTTAAGTCCCTTTTTTTCAGTGCCACTATAACTTCAAACAACCACTAAATGAAAGGTTGTAAGTCAAAGACGATCTGGATTCGGGTAGAGCTACCACATGGGGATTGCAAATGTCCACTAGAGGGCAGCAAGGGAACTATAAAATGATGCCCTCTAGTGGTGAGTAGGAGTAGCGAAGGCTAGATTAGACTGTTAAACAGAATGCCTCTATATTTAGCCTTGTTCTAATCTAATCTAACCTATCTATCCCAGGTTTTCAACTCCCGAGCGACAGAGAAGATTAAAAAAAGGGAAAAATATGGCTGCAACTCAGCCAGGTGTTCAAATTGCAAGCAAATATGCTTTATTTAGAAGCAATTTCACAAGGAGTTGACTCCGAACACACACTCTGGGAGTGATCCAAGGACTCTTGTAATTGAGCACCTTGGCATCCTGGTTTGACACATTCAAACCTAATTAGACGATGCTTTGAATTTTTAACCAGCTTTCTCTCCTGCGTGGAGCTGTCTCCCAAATGCCCCTCCGGGGATAGGCAGGTGGGTGGGTGGTTATGATCATGGCAGTCACGGTCCCTGCGTTGTGTGTGTGGGGGGAATGATGCTCTTCGAAGACTGGTGGCTGCATCCTCTCTTCCCTAACTTTCAATGAAATGCTAAATCGATGGAATTCTTTTGAAGCGGGTAAGATTTCAGCCCTTGTAAGGGAGAACCTTAAAACATCTCAGGTGAGAAACCTGCAGGGTGATGAGAAGGTTGATCTGAAGAAATGGAGTGGAGTGGAATAGAAAATAGAATACAAAGTTGGCACCTCTAGGGCCCGATGTGTGCCAGAACCGGACTCTAATGGAATTACTGCGGTCATCCAAACTGCTTCAGGTGGCAAATGTAAGGCAGGCATTGCCAGGAGAAGAGGACAGCTGGGGTCACTGGCCCTTGCCCTGTGCCAGCAGCGCAGTTACAGAATAGCAGAGTTAGGAGGGACTTCGGAGGTCTTCTAGTCCAACCCCACACCGTCTCAGACAAATGGTTGTCCGAGACATCCCCAAATGTACAAGAAAGCTGAACAGGGGTTGTAAATGCTCCAAGACTGGAAGTTTTTTAAAGAAGAGATTGGACAACCCTTTGTTTGAAATGCTACAGAGTTTCCTGCCTAAGCAGGGGGTTGGGCTAGAAGACCTCCAAGGTCCCTTCCAACTCTGTCTATTCTCTTCTATCTTTTCTTTTAAATGCCTCCTTTTACACCTTTCTCTGCATAAATTGCCTGTTGGTTGTTGTTTTTTTTTGCACCCCTCCAAAATCAATCTTTTCCACCTCAAACGTACAGGTAGGTCCTCAAATTACAACCACCTTAGCAATATTGGTGTAGACCATCAAGGGGACATCTCTCAAACTGTTTTAAATGAATAGTGTGAGGAGGACACCCGAGTCTTTGCACAGGGGTAGAATATCATTGTGAGTGAGATGTGCCACCTACTCAAGCCAACTTGGCCCTATTGGGTCTTCTGGTGGATGAGGACAACCAGTCTTCTACCAGAAACACCGTCCCAGTCTGCAACCGGAGCTGCCCCTCTCATTTTCCCCATCTTGAGAAGACCCCCGGGGGGTCCGTTGGGTCGGGATGGGGAAGGCTGCTCATTTCAACCGTCTTCCTCAAACCAAGGCTGATAGGGTCTTTCTTTTGCTGCAAACCACGGGGAGAAAAAACACACACACACACACAGGCATGTCCTCCTGGTTGCATGCTCCCTCAGATGCCTCCCCGGTGTGTGTCTTCTCCTCTTGCCTTGCTTCTTCATCTTCCCTTACGGTTCTCAGCGAAGCTACGGGTGAAAGGAAACCACCCAACGGGATGGCACAGCTGGGTGGTCTCTACAGAGCTCAGTTGTAGAAGCTCCGGAAACTCGGCTTGATTTCTCAACTAGCTTTCATACCACCGGATGGATCAGACAATGTTCTTTCTCTCCCCCCCCCCCCCAACCCCTCCCTGCGGCCTGGGACCTTGCAGACTGCGAATGTTACGGACACTCCAATCGGTGCAGCTTCATTGATTTCCTGAACTTGGTCACCTGCATTAGTTGCAAGCATAACACTCGGGGACAGCACTGCCAGTACTGTCGGCTTGGCTACTTCCGAAATAGCTCCGCGGAGCTGGACGACGAGAACGTGTGTGTGGGTGAGTAGCAGTGGGAGGCCCCAGAGCTGGAGAAGCTTCCTCGGAGGAGAAGCGAAATGTCTTCAAAGGAAAAGAAGAAAAGCCAGAAAGTCCCGTTGCCTCTTGGAAGGAGGGGAAGCACCTTTGGGACACCAGGGTAGCTTCAGGTCTGTTTGGCAATGTTCCAGAGCCACGGTTGACTTCTGGTTGCGTGATCAATCAATCAATCAATCAATCAGAAGAGAGCTGGAAGGGACCTTGGAGGTCTTCTAGTCCAACCCTCTGGTTCAAGCAGGAGATCCTATACCATTTCAGACAGGTGGCTGTCCAGTCTTTTTTTTTTTTTTAAAAAAAATCTTCACTGATGGAGCAACCACAACTTCTCGAGGCAAGTGGTTCCACTGGTTAATTGTTCTGACTGTCAGGAAGTTTCTCCTTGGTTCCAAGTTGCTTCTCTCACTGATGAGTTTCCATCTGTTGCTTCAGTTGATTTGGGAGAAGAACAGGATAACATGTCTAGTCTTCATCTCTTCCTCCTATCTCCCAAGGTCACTTAACAACTGTGGCAAAGGAGGTTCTAAAAGGGGGGGAAACTCACTTAAAAACGGTCTCAGTCAGCAACAGAAATTTTGTGCGCATAAGTCAAGGACTAGCAATCTATCCAGGATCACTGTTGCTCCTCACTTGCAATTGGGGGGACCTTACTCCCCCCAAACACCTTAAGGGAGATGTAGGGTGGTGGTTCCACGTTATCCAGAACCTACGAAGAGGCCCATAGAGACAGGATTCCCAGAGTCGCTCCCAGTCTCCTCCCTGTAAGAATTAGGGGTGACTCCCTGGTTTTTCCCACCGCAGCCCTGACTTTCCTGGTCTGTTGTTTCTTCCAGATTGCAACTGCAACCGAGTTGGCTCGCTGGCCAACCGTTGTAATGAGACTGGCTACTGCGAATGCAAAGATGGGGGCGTGACGGGGCCGAAATGTGACGATTGTTTGCCCGGCTACTACTGGAGGCAAGGCTGCTTACGTAAGTATCTTTCCCTTTCTGGATGGAGATTGAACCCTACAGCAGAGTTTCTCCGAGTTTGGCGACTCTTAAGACATGTGGACTTCAACTCCCAGAAATCCCCAGCCAGCAGGCTTTGAGATGAGTGGAATTCTGGGAGTTGAAGTCCATATATCCTAAAGCAAGCTGGCTGGGGGAATTCTGGGCGTTGAAGTCCATATATCCTAAAGCAAGCTGGCTGGGGAATTCTGGGA